GGAGACGACGGAGAACTGCAGGAAATTTCAGCTTGGTGGTAAGTACCTTCCCAAAGATAGTGAGCTCCCGGGTCCGTGGAGATATTCAAGCAGTATCAGGGCCCCACAGCCAATCATCCAGCAATGGTGAAGGTGCTGGGTGCGGGAGGGCTTACAATTTCACGATCATGCAAGTCTATCCGCTAAGAGCTGGCACAGCCAATGTAAAACTCTGTTTACGTACAAGTTCTCTACGTTTCTTCCTAAAGCTAAAAGGAACAGGGTTGTACTTGTAGAAGCACAGCCGGAACCCAGTTTGCAAACACGCCAGGTCTGGGGTCCTGGCCTCTACAGGCGGGGGAGAGAGGGAGGGAGGGAGGCCAGAGCCTCAGTTACTTTTGGAAGCTGGGACTCTTCACTAACCCCATTTTGGTGGCAATCCCAAAAGGGTCCATGCTGTCTGTTTCCAGGGGTGAAGAAAACCTCTCCGACTCCACGTGGTCCTGGAGGTCCCTGGGCTCTGCTGGGCTGCCGGGCAGCATGGGCAAGAAATGGGACAGGGGCAAAAACCCTCTGCCCTTGTACAGCTGCCTCTGTATGGCACTACTCAAAGAGACGGGGAGACGGTGCTTCTCGGACCGGTACACGTTGTAGCCGTCGGGGCGGATCTCCTCTTGGAAGGCACAGTCCCCAGCAGAGTACTGAAGCTGGGGAGAAAAGAGACAGCCGTGAGCACCCGTGGGTGCCCCCTGGGGGTGCCACCCCCAGAAGGAGCAGGGAAACCGGGCACAGGGGAGCACTTGTGGTGCATACTCCCACTTGGGTCTGCGTGATGGTCGTATGTATCTATCTGCACGTAGAGTTAGAGGTTATATAAAGCACGAAGGTGTCTAAAGTCCATGATTATGTATGCAAATATATACTTGTATTATTAAGGTATACATTATACTAATGACTATACACAGTGAGCGTACACTAATATATAAATGTGAAAAATCAGGGGGCGCCTGGGTGGCTCCGTCGGTGAAGCGAACGACTTCGGCTCAGGTCGTGATCTCACGGCTCATGAGTTCGAGCCCCGCGTCGGGCTGCCAGCTCGGAGTCTGGAGCCCGCTTCGGATTCTGTGTCTCCCTCCCCTCAAAATAATAAACACTAAAAAAATTTTAAAAAAAATAAATGTGAACAATTATAACAGTAAATGTTAAATATAGAACATATCATATATACTTTATAAATTTATACATATAGATGTTTTATATACTTTTATAATTTTTCGACACACATAGACTCCAGGAATACGTGTCACGTATATACTCAATATCTGTATATACGTTACATGGGTATTTTGGATCTCTCTCTAAATCACGTCACTTAAACTTGGTCTTGTTCTGATATGCACAAAATCGGAGGTGCAATATGTATACTGGGCCCCTCATCCTTTACGTTAAATGCACAACTATTAACATCAAAAGGTTCCAGGCATCCACCGGCACTTTGGGAGACACTGCTAAAGTGGGTGTGCTGTCCCAATCCAACCTGGGGCCCAGATTAAAGCATCTACTCCCCACTGGGGCCTGAGTAACAGCGGGCGACCCAGAGGCCTTTTTGTCTGATGCCCTGGTAGGAAACATCAGGGCTCCCTCATTCAGAGGCGGAGGGCCTTCCAGGCAGCCTGCCAGGATTATCAGGATAAAGGCAGCCCCCTCCCCCCTGGCCCAAGACGGAGCCTGCACCCAGCGGGTGGCCGGAAATGCCACCGGAAGGGCAGAAAGCAGCCCCCGGGGTCCCAGAACACTGGTAGCTGAGAGGCAGCGGTGGGCCAAGTCCTGTGCCAAGCTGGGGAAGGTCATTACCCTGTGGGGGACGCGGAGGACAGCCCCAGGCAGGGAGCCAGGAGGGCTGGGCAGTAAACAACCCCGGGAGGCACCCAGTCCCAGTCTCCTTCGTGCCCAAGCCTACAAAGGTCGCTGAACTGCAGGTGAGTGAGTGCGGTGCTGATAAGGCACTGATAAGGCTCAAGTCTAATGAAGCAACAGGTCCTGGCCCCCCCTGACCCGTGCACTGGGACAGAGCCACCAGACGTCGGGGAAATGCGAACCGATAAATAAACAAGGGAAGGAAAAGCGAGCGCTGCTGGGTCTTTGGGCGGAACTCGCGCCCCGCGCTCTACTCCGCACAGAAAATGAAGTGGCTTCAAGTTTCTTGGAGAAAGCGGAATTTGTCTTAAAAAATAAAAATAAAAATAAAACAAAAACAAGGGATCAAGAGGCAGAACAGGATTTTCGGTTAAGGGGCATTCCTCCTCCTCCCCC